AAAGGGAAAATGAAAAGTTTTGGTTCAGTATCATTGGAATTGCCTGAAACCCAAGGACTCTACTTAGAAATTGCTTCTAGAAGGACTAATTCAGTAAACTGAAGGAGAGGGACTGTTAACTCGTATCTTACTCCATATGGCCTTCTGCTTCCTTTCACTCTCGTTAAAACTTAACTTCTGGGCCTGGCAGCGTGGCCTAGTGGCTAAAGTCCTCGCCTTGAACGCACTGGTTCTAATCCCGGCAGCTCCAATTCCCATCCAGCTCCTTGCTTGTGGCCTGGGAAAGCAGTCAAGGACAGCCCAAAGCTTTGGGACCCTACACCACCTGTGTGGGATACCCGGAAGAGGTTCCTGGTCCCCAGCTTCAAATTGGCGTAGCACCGGCCATTGCGGTCACTTGGGGATTGAATCATCAGATGAAAGATCTTCCTCTATGTTTCTCCTCCTCTCTGTATATCTGCCTTTCCAATAAAAATAAATAAATCTTTAAAAAAAAAAAACTTCTTAGAAAGTCACATTTGCGTGGTGCCTGTCTTCCTGCGTAGTGAGCCCTCCAGGAGGTGTATTTTCAGGCATGTCGTTGCTACTCTATCATTTTCGTGCTTTAACAGCGTGATGATCGCCTGTTCCATGAAAGGAGTATCACATGATAGAAAGAGCTTCCAGTTTGCAGTCAGACAGCCTGGGTTCCTGTCTAAGCTCCTATCACTTATTTCAACCCATGGCCCTAAGTTGCTCGTTAGCCTCTCTGAGCCCTGGCTTCCACATTTAGAAAACAGAATAGAAGATGCAATGAGGAAATCAGGTACAAAGACCCCTACTGTCACAGAGAAACAATAGAAACGTTGAGCATTATTATTATACCCTGCTTACCTTTGAGTAGGAATGTGAAGCAGCTTTCGGCAGAAACATTATGGTGGTACTATAATCTCGGCTTTAATTAAGAATTCATCCAAAGACACATGTCAGATTAGGGGAAGTACATGAAAAGAGAGAATATCCTTAATTTCAAAGACCTCTTAGGAATTCATTTGGGTAAAGGGTAAGGTCTCACATCTCAGAGCAAAAGTAATGCAGTTGGGCCCGGCGAGGTGGCGCAAGTGGTTAAGTCCTCGCCTTGCACGCCCAGGATCCCATATGGGCGCTGGTTCTAATCCCGGCAGCCCGTTCTCCAGCTCCCGCCTGTGGTGGGGAAAGCAGTCGAGGACAGCCAAATCTTTGGGACCTGCACGTCGGGAGACCCGGAAGAGGGTCCTGGCATCTGGATTGGCATAGCATCGGCGTTGTGGTCCTGGGAAGTGGAATCATCGAACGGAAGCATCTTCCTTCTGTATTTTCCTGTTGTATATCCGCCTTTCCAATAAAAAATAATAAAAAAATAAATCTTAAAAAAAAAAACCAAAAGTAATGCAATTGATCAATAAGCATGGAGAGGTAGTCAACATTGTTAGTGAATTTGAGCTGAAGGATGCTCAGGTAGCTGATAAGATGTTACTGGTGAGGATGTTTTCAGAAGAGCTGAGCGATTGAATCAGTAGGCTGAGTAAAGAGGGTTGCCACCCTGTCCCATTCTACCCCCCACAGTGCAAGTGGGCATCACCCTGGTCCCCTGAGGGGCTCAAAGAGAGCAAAGAGGAGGAGGAGGGAGGACAAATGTGTTCCTTTGCAGAGGGGCGGTATGTCTAACTTCTCCCCTTCCCCACCACCCTGACCTCACGCTCCTGACAGTGTTTCTGCTTCACAACTCAGCCCAGGACTAGAACCAGTGGCTCACCTGATCCTGGGGCTTTTGACCTTAGATATGGCTTTGCTGAACCTTCAACTTGCAGACAGGTCCTAGGACTCCACACCCTCCAAAGTCACATTAGCCAGTCCCTCATACTCTGTGTCTTTCTCTGTGTCTGCATGCATGGACATCCCTCCGGGTTCACAGGGAGAGCATGTCATTTGGATCTGTGCGCATCCTCCCATAAGCTTTAAGTCAACTCTAGCTTACTTCCAGGATCTAATGGTAGATAGTGGTTAGACTGCATTGTTTAGGAAATGATGACAAGGGGGAGGTCTGTGCGCATTCAGGGACGGTAGTTTGTTTCCGAGTATTTCTGATTTTTGCTTAGTTGAAGCTGCAGGTACAGAAATCACAGACATGGAGGGTCATCCAGGGTGTATTGGTTCTCTCTCTCTGAGAAATAGTTGGTATATACTGGTAATTTTCCTTGGGAGAAAGAAACAGGGTCATGGGAGAATTATGAGAAAAGAAAAAGGTGAAGGTAGTGCTCAGTAAGAATTTACTGAGTGCATTTTCTACTTTTCTCCTATTGTTTGTTTGTTTTAACCAGGTACATCTGTTGCTTTTATTTCAAAATCCGTTGGTAGAAGGTGGAGGCAATCATTAATAAAGGAGTGGAAAGTGTTTCTCATAATTGGGCTTGAATTCATCTTTGAGCTTCCTAATAGCCAATGCAAGGAGGGGTCCTGGATAAGAAAGTATGAAAATCATACCAGGAAAGAAAAACGTTTTTCTGTATGATCCTAAACAGGAATGGAAACTGGTTGAGGAGATTAGGTTTATGCGCCTGGTCCTCTGTCTAGTCACGATTCCCATGCACCTCTGGTTCAGTTTTGCTTACTGCTCCCTCCAAGATGGAAAGTTGACGCACCCACATTCTGCCTGGAATGTTCTGTCTCTTCTCTACCTGGTTGTCAGCTCTGGATCGTCTTTCTTTTTCTTTCTTTCTTTTTTTTTTTTTTTTTTATGTTTTTATTGGAAAGGCAGATATACAGAGAGGAGAGAGACAGAGAGGAAGATCTTCGTCCTATGTTCACTACCAAGTGAGAGAACAGCCAATGCTATGCAATCCGAAGCCAGGAGCTCTTCGTTCACCTGCGGGGTGCAGGGTCAAGCTTTGGGCGTCCTTGACTGTTCCCAGGCCACGGTGGGATGCTGGAAGGGAAGCGGGGCTGCCGGATAGAAAACCGCGGCCATTATGGATCGGCATGTGCAAGGCGAGGACTTAACCACTTGCGCCACCGCGCTGGGCCCTGGATCGTCTTTCTGTTTGTTACCCTCCATGGGATCCTTTCAGGTTGAGTGTTTGTCCACAAGCTTTTACTGGGTGGAGAGCACTGGCTATGAATGAGCAAGAATGCTTAATAGTCCATAGTTGAGTTCTGCCTCTTCCATCAGTTAGCTCTGTGAACAGATGGGTTCCCCCGGGTCTCAGGGTCCCATCTATCCAGTGAGAGATTCGGTTCAGATAACCGATAAGGACTCCTGCTCTGAAGGTTTTTTTCCTCCTCTGTGGTTTGTCAGATTGTCATATCCATACCTGGAGCTTGTTTCCAGCTGTCGTGCCAAATCAATCCAAGAAGTTTTTAAGCTGACCTTTTACAACTGCCTGTCGCACATCTGTTCTCCAAGTGAGGACATCAGAGCCATATCCTGTTTGCTTAGCCTGAGAGTCCAGAGCCAAATATTGTCTCCTGCTCTGCTGTCTTGAATCTGTCCTTGACATACACAAAGGTCAGAGGACTCTCCCTCTGAGAACCCACAGCAACATTAGCATGGTGGCTCAATGGCCAAATCCTTGCCTTACAAGCCCTGGGATCCCATATGGGTGCCGGTTTGTGTCCCAACCGCTCCACTTCCCATCCAGCTCTCTGCTTGTGGCCTGAGAAAGCAGTGGAGAATGGTACAAAACCTTGGAGTACCGAACCTGTATGGGAGACCCAGAGGAAGCTCCTGGCTTCAGATTGTCTCAACTCTTGCCATTGTGGCCACTTGGGGAGTGAATCAGCAGATGGAGGATCTTTCTGTCTCTTCTTCTATCCATAAATCTGATTGTCTTTCCAATAAAAATAAATAAATTTTTTAATGAGCCAAGTGCAATAGCCTAGATGCTAAAGTCCTCACCTTGCACACCCAGGACCCCATACAGGCACAAGTTTGTGTCCTGGCTACTCCACTCTCCATCCAGCTCCCTACTTGTGGCCTGGGAAAGCCTTTGGACTCTTCACCCATGCGAGAGACCTGGAAAAAGCTCCTGGCTCCTGGCTTTGGATGGCTCAGCTCTAGCCATTATGACCACTTGGGGAGTGAGCCAACAGACAGAAGACCTTTCTGTCTCCCTTCTCTCCATAAATCTGATCTGCCTTTCCAATAAAATTAAATAAGCCTTTATTTAAAAAAAAAAAAAAGGTGCTGCTCCAACTTCAAGGAGAACGTGTGTTGGCTGTGCTGAGAGCCTTTTATTTCAAAATAGGTTTTGTCATTTCTCCACAAGTGGGTTTCTGTTGCCTCTCTCTCAAGGTCATCTTTTTTGATTCTTAAAAAAAATTCTTTGCACAGAAAAGAATCTCTTTATGACTGAAGCCTGTAACATACCCTTTCATTACCCTCTTTCTCCAAGAGTAGAACAGTGTTAGTTAGCAGTAGCCACTGGGTTATGTGGACCCGAAAAGCATCATCATTGCTGCTGTCTTGGTGTGCCGGCAGTGCATCCTTCTGTAACCTAGGGCTGAGAAAACGCCGAGACCCCATCATGCATCTTGTTGCATCCCAGCGTATTTACCTGCTGAAAGTTGTAAGGAATTGGGGAACATGGTAGAACCTGTCCTGTGCATCATTTGCTCGTGTCATGGCTGGTGTCCTATTATCATTCACAGACTGTTTCTGTAAGTGGAGAATTAGCATGAGTTTCTGTTGCGAACAATAGAAAATCAATTAATCCCAGGCCGAATGGAAATGCACGCTTGATTTTGATTCACTTTGCTCTAGCTGTCCTCAAGGACCCCATGCGTTTGGACAACGTCCCCGTGTCACGAACGGAGATTGGCGCAGTTTTCCAATGACACCGTTTAGGTTCTTGTCTCCTAAATCAATAGCAGCTGTCACAGAAGGCCTGCGTATTCCTTCTCCTGTAGAGCCAGAGCAGGCTTGACGCAAGGTAATCATTACTGCTCTGATCTCAGCATGTTCCCTTCTCTCCTCCCCAACCCAGAGCACGTCTGCTCAATTCTGGCCTCGCTCCTGCGGAACCTTCGAGGGCAGCAACGAACCCGGCTTCTGAATAAATTCACTGAAAATGACAGCGAGAAGGTGGGTGATGGGGACCATCAGGAGGGACACCACGACCAGCAAGGCAGCTCACATTCTTCAGCTGTTGCCCTCCAAGGGATTCTGGGTTGATTGCAGCTGCCCTAAGACGTCTTCCCATGCACCCAGGAACCAGTTGCTTTGGACTCGGCAGTTCCTCTTGGTTATTCTGTCCCCCATGCCTTTTCCCTGGGAGGGGTAGCAGCATCTTAGGGTAATGTCAGTAGGTTCTCTGGGAAGAGTTGACACCTAGCAAGGGTGGACTGGCTGTAAAGGGATTTCGATTGAGTGATTGGGGGTGGCGATGTACAGCAGAGCCAAATAATTGGGAACACTGGCTTTGAGGTGGGACACCTAGAGCCGAACCTGCTTTTGCTATTTTCCATATGCATGCTATTCTTTCCCTGACTAAAATGGAGACATTAATACCCATCAAAACCATTAATACTCAATGATGTTGAAATTAGGACGGTGAGAAGGAAACCATAGCACCTGTCCTGGGTGGTCAGAGGAAGCTGCAAAGATACGTGAAGAAGATTGGATGATTGTTTGCTATGACATCTGGCTCGCCTGACCATTAGATTTTAAGAGGAGTGGCCATTTTGTATGTGATGGGTGTGGAGTGCACAGTACAGTAGCTGCCTATCATGTCATATGTGTCCTCACTGTAGTCTCTGTTCTAGCCTGTGTTATTCCCATTCTCAGATGAGGAAGCGAGGCACAGGGGCTCACCACTAGTGCGTAGCAGAGCTGCAATCTGAACTCCCAGTCCAGGAAATCTGTATATTTGTTCTTATTAGACAAGAGTTGCATAAAATTAAGTCTCACCGCCCCCTTTTTAACCTGCACTGGTTTTCTTCTTGCTTGTATCCCAGGTAGAACTGAAGCTTTGCCCTAGTCCAGAGAGAGGTTAAAGACCATAACTCTGAGCCATCTCTAACTGCTGTCCCCAGCAAAGCTTGGTGCAGCTTTAGGACGCAAACATCAGGAGCAATCGTGTCTCCCTGGCGATACCACTTAGCAAGTGTGTTTCACTTTCCTCATTTTTAAAATGGAGTATTGCTCTCTCACTTCTCTGCCTACCTGCTCACGTTTTGGGTTTCTTTCTCTCTCTCTCTCTCAAGACTTAAGGAATTAACACACATGAAAATCCTTTGCAAACTGAACTGTGTAAGGTTGTACAGTCATCACTGGGAACCAGAGGATTCTGGGTACAATCTTCTCGGGCTATGCATTGCTATATTGAAGCATCAAGTCCAGTGAACCAATCTCAGCTCCCGGGCAAGGGAAAAAAATGCCTAGTTGCCAGCAGCCAGGGTGGCGCCAGCCTGGTCGAAGGGCAGGTCAGAAGGCTGAGTTGGCCTCCCAGTTTCCTCAGTCTGGGAAGTCTTAGGGGGAGATGAGACTTGGTTCACACCCAGCGAGCCTTTCTCGGGCCATGTGTGCAGCATGGCTGTGTGAGCTCGGTACTCTCGGTTCTCACTAGGCAGCAGCCAGGGCCTTTTTTCAAGCTGCTGAAGGACTTTTTCTCATTACACCCTCTTCCACCTCAAAAGCAACGAAAAAGATTTTGCTCGGGTATTTTTTAAAAAAAGATCAGCTCTGGGGCAGAATCTGAACATGAAAGGTTTCAGTTTGAAGGAAGAAATTCCTATCAAGTTCCAAGTGAATATCAAGTGTGTGGCTTCAAGCTCCTTCCCTGTGCAAGAAGGATCTTGAATTTTTATATCTTTCTTTGTTTTGAACAACTTGGGTCCCTGAGAGGCCCAGAAGGGCTGGAAAGGCATCTGCTGTTCTGGGGAAGGGTGTCTTTGGGCTGCATCCATCAATCCCAAGTACTTGCTTTAATCTGCCCCAGCTCTGTGCTCATTGGTGCCGTATCCCTGAGCACAGCACCCCTCCAGTGTCCGAGTGGCAGAGCGGGTCTCCATCACAGGGCATGGCAACCAGGGGCATGGCTGTCCTTCTCTTGCCTTGCCTTAATAGCCTTTTCTTCTCACCAAGGCCTGTGAAATTTCTCTTTCAGGTTGACAGGCTCATGGAGTTGCATTTTAAATATTTGGGCGCCGTGCAAGTGGCCGACAAAAAGATCGAAGGTGAAAAACACGTATGTATCCCTGCCTCCCTTTTGCCAGCGATCAGTTTGTACCCCATGAAAGTTCCTTGTGTACCTCCTGTCTCCACACCCCAGTAGGTAAGGGCAGAGGGGCCATCTGGTACCCTGTGCCATCTAACGTGCCATAAGAGCAGAACAGGCAGTGGCCGACCAGTCTCCCAGGAGGGAGGATATGTGGTCTTGACCCCGGTTTGACCTGGGAATTTTGGATGGGTCCCCCAAGGACTCTTGTCTGAGCTTCTCAAAAATCTGATCCAAGAGCAGAGCTGTGACTGGGTGCCACAGTGACAAGGTGTGTCTTGGTACCCGTACTGGCCAGCTTCTGTAGTCCAAGGGAGGCATCTCAAGAAAGGGTAGCCGCAGAGCGTCGAGCTGGAAGGAAACCAAGTTGTTGCGAAAAACAGGCTCCCTTCTCAAGTGGGAGCTGGATACAGAGTGGGCATGCGCAGTACCTATTTGTTCCAACTGGTTGACCCTCGCCCGCTGATGCTGATGCTAAGGGAAGCGAAAGATGCTAGGTGTTGCTGCTTGAGGAGCTGTGGTGCCTACCTCCTGCATTTTTCTCCTTCTCACTTCCCACCCTGTCCCCTGGCTTTGCTGGCATCCAGGGCCTGCTCACCATCACCCCTTAATCAGAGTGTGTTCCATGTCTGCTGTCTGATGCCTGATTTGTATTCTGTCCCCTACAAGACACTCCTCAGCCTTTGGTCACATTTCAAAATGCTCCGTTTCTTGCCTTTCTCCAAGTCCGTGGGAGGCCTCATTTGCTCATGACCATGATTTGCCAGGTCACTTCATTTTCTTTCCAGCCTTCTCGTCTTAAAGAGACAGTTGAGGTCTAGAGCCTCTGAGGTACCCGTTGCAGCAGCCCCTGTCCAGGCGGGGCTGTGGGCCTCAGGCAGTAGGGGAGGACAGAGCACAGGCTCCAGCTGCTGCCTGGGCCACATTCCCCATCCCCTGCCCCATTCACAGAATCTCGTTTCCTTTGCGAACAGCAGAACAGTGGTAGTCATGGATTTCACTCTCACGATTTCCCTGTGATGTCTAAACCCAGTGAGTCCTCAGCTGTTTGTTGATTGATTGAATTGATTGGCGGGGACTTTCTGCTTTCATAGGGCGATTCTGCAGCAAGATAAAAGGCAGAGACTCCGTTTGGACGCTGGCCTTCAAACACTAGTGTGCCGCATGCACCCAGGTTTCCCACAGCCCTCCCCACTTTGTTTTGTTCTTTAATTAAGCCTGCACTGTTCATCTTTTCTTCCCTATGTTGTGATCCGTGAATGATGGACATGTAGTGGCTGGAGTCTTTCCTCTCTTATCCAAATAGTAATTAGGAACCGGTTGGAATTCCCCTAGACTTTGGTAAGGGAATGGCCATGAGGCAATTACAGCCCCAGCAGATCCACAATGGTGTCTGCTGGAGATCCCAAGGGGGGGGGGAAATGAGCACCCCAGAGGCAGGGGATCTGGGGTTCTCACCCAGGTGCTGCAGTGGAGGCGCTGCTTGTTGCATCCGCAGCGTCTCAGCTCTGAGTCGGCGTTAGCCAAGACGGTCCCTCAGGGGCCCTTGAGGTCCGCTGAACAAGCCCTGGTAACTGCTCTCTTCTGACACCAGAAAGGATTAAAGGCACAGTGAGACACTGACCCATGACTGAATGGCCTGCTGGATAGAGGAGTGTCAGGTGAGAGAGACTCCCCACACGCCAGGCAGAGTCCCTGGGCTACAGTTCCGAGCTCACTGATTGTGCACCGTCCAGCTGACTCTCTTAAGCTTTGGCTTACTGCTCTGTAAAATGGGAGGAGCAGCACTGTTGTTTGGCACAGAGTACATAAAGCACCTTGCTCAGCAAGGAAAAACTTCAGTGCTTCTAGATTTCCCTAGCTTTCTTTGAAATTCTTGCTATAACTCCATACTTGTTATTTGAGTTTGTTTGTCTGGAGGCAGAGGCAAAACACACAGGCAGAAAGAGCTCACGTTTTCTGATTTGCTCCCCCAAATGCACACAATGGCCAGGACTGGGTTGGGTCTGAAGTCAGAAGCTGGGACTTGATCCACATCTCTCATGTGGGTAACGGGCACCTAATTGCTTGAACCATCACCACTGCCCCCAGAGTAAGTCCTGGCAGAAAGCTGGGGTCAGGAACCAGAGCCAGGACTCCAACCCAGATGGAATGGTGAGACAGCACACTAGCTGCCAGGCTAGGTCTTCTCAGGTAACCATACAGAAAGCTGGGCCACTCTTAGCCACTCCTCTTTGCCAGATGCCCCAGAAGGAGCTGCCCCAGCAGAACAGAGCCTTGGTACCTCTCTTGGAGGTAAAGCTTAGATGCCCAAGTAAGTGATTACAACTTGGCATCCCAGACATCTTTGTGTGAGGCTGTGTGGTAGTTTTGGCCTGCTTCCCACAAGATTATTTGTTCCCGTCATTGGAGAGTGTATGAAATTGATTCACCCTGATGGAGAGTCAGAGCTGCAGCCGCCTCCCCCATCCTCCATCCCCCATCCCCTGCCCCAGCTTGCAGAGCTGCCTTGTGCCATGGCACTGGGACCCTGCCGTTCCCTGACAAACAGCTGTCTCCGTGATGCCAAGGCTGTTTTGCCAAGCACTGGCAAACGCTCCAAGGCCATTAGTGTTCCGCAGCCTCAGAGGCACTCAGAGAGCCAGAGTGGCAGGGGTAAGGGCATGTTCGTGAGCAGCATCTGCTGCCAGCCCTCAGGCTCCATGCCCAGTAGGTGAGGGCACCCTGAGATGTACAGTGACTTAATACAACACAACCTCCTCACCTTTGTTCGTGCCGAATAGTCTGTGTCCTCCCTGCATCTCATCTCCATCCAGTGTGAACGTCCTACACCAGTCAAAATCTCAGAACATCATTGTTGACTTGAACTAGATGCTTCTTCCTCCAGCATTTTGATAAGTCAGTGTCAGATCAAGAACAAATTAAGTGTGTGTCTCACAAACTTCCCAAGTCTACCACCAGGAAACCCTTAGGTTATGTGGCCAGATGGCGACACTCTTGCTGTCTCGGAGCCTCCACTTCCCTGTAACTTCAGACTTCCCTGGACACCGGTCAAGTGTCCAGGGTTCGCAGTTGACCAAGAGTCACTAGAGAGAGAAGATCTGATCATTAGGCAAATGTTGATCCAGCGCCTGCTCTGTGCAGGCATTGGGCCAGTGCTGGCAGCGGTTAGCACTGGAAACAACAGCGAGGAGTGGGGGTCCCAAGAGCAGGGCTGTGGCTGTCACTCCCAGAGCAAGGGACATCAGCCCAGCAGTGCCAGGGTGTTCAGCGGCCACCGCTGGTGCAGGCCCTCCCCTCCCTGCAGCTGCCTGCCAACCTGTAATTACTTTGTTCATTTGTTTACTCCCTGTCTCTGGGACCACAATCTTTCGTGTTCATCATCTTCTCGGGGCTACGTGCCCGACATTCAGTAAATGAAGAGCTACCACTCAGTAGCTAAACTCATGTGCCTCCCCGGGAGTTAAGTCAGAGGCTCACCGAGGGCTTTCCACATGGTTCCTTCACTCTTCATTCCTAGCCTGGGCTTGTCCACGAACAGCCCCATTGCAGGAAGTACTCCATTCCAGCTCAGGAGGCTCCGTAGCATAGCCGCCACAGTATTCAGTAAGGAAAACTAGCCCTACTGGAAGAGTCTACAAGTCAGACACTTTGATAACATGAGATTCCAGGGTGACAGCATGCGGGGTTGCACCCTAGGGACCCAGCTTAGCAAGATTTGACCTGAACTTTTACAGGGCAAGCATTGCTTACAGCTGTTGTATATAACCCAGGTGCTGTCTCAGCACATCTCCCCTGGCTCCCAGACAACTACATGTCCAGAAAATACCAAGGTCCCCGTGTGGAGAAGATGGCCAGACCTCTCACTGGCTTTTTGTGAGCTGTGTCAGTTTAGTGTGCCCAGCGTGCCTGGCTCCCGGCTGCCAGGAGTGAGACATAATTACATAGGTGCTGGCAGGGCTTTCAGCAAGAGGGAGGAGAGCAAGCCTGGAGAGAGGGTTTCCGTTTTTAGTTTCTGGGAAAATTGCACTCAGCAGGTTGATTCAATAAAGTGTTCCCACCACATACTTTGCACCGTAATGACTTACAAATTGCATGCTAATTTTGCCACAGTTAAATCATTCCAGGCTTTATCCTGGAAAGAAAAAGATGGACTCTGTAATGAAACAGTGTCCCCAGGACTTGACATCTTAAACTCTGCTGTTTCCCTGGCATTTGAAACTCACCTAGAGGGCTGTGGGAACAGGGGTACAGTGCGAGAATGGGCACGGGAGGCACATGACCCTCAAGTGCCAGGTGAGGGTGTGACCATTAGATCAGGGTGTGGCTACTACAAGCATGAGGCTCTGGTTGGCCCTTCAGCGAGCTGCGCCCAACGCTTCTGGGCCAGTACATTTACTGAAACACAGTAATGGTGCGGTTTCCCTCTCCTCCCTCTCTCTTTTCGACACCTGCTGTTTCCAGCAGGGACCCACCCCGCCTCCACTGCTGCCTCCCCACACTTTCCCAGCCTCTGCCACTTGCCCTCCTAGTGCAGTCTGGCCTTATTAGTAGATGGGGCCAAGCACAGGCTCTAGCCCACCCACCTCACAGGCCTGTGACCAGGACTGGTGGGAGGGGACTATGTGCCAGTACCTCCCAAAGCTCTGTAGACTCATAGTCCACGGCCACCTGCCCACCCCCCACAGGCTTTTCTGACTCACCCGGGGTCAGATCCAGCTGTTGGCCCTGGCCCAGTATAATCTCTTTCCTCACATTCACACATTTGACCATGTAGGAAGCTCTGCCACATACCTGCTGGTGGCTGCTCCCTCCACCTGTCCCCGGCCCTCTCCTCTGCACCCGTGTTCTACTCTAGGACCCTGTCACCTTACCTGGCCAGCTCATCTCCTGCCTCTCAGTTTATGCCTTCCAGTTCACTTCCAACACAGCAACCAGAGATTTTTCCAAGATGAAAATCCACTTCTGCC